TGCCCCGCGTACATGATCAGATCGTCACACCACTTTTGCCGTGGTCGACCTCGACGGCGTCGACCTCCTTCAGGTGTCAGTGAGTGACAATCTTCGCCTATCTGTCCGGGTGTATTCGTGCGACGTGGCCAGCCCACTCCCACTTCAGCCTGGCTGTTTTTTCTCCGACATCTGCTATTTGAGTTATGGAGCGCAGCGTGGTGTTTCTTATCTATTCGCTTAACGCCTAAAATGCTGCGCTCCATTGCCCTTTGACAAATCTTGAGTTTGGACTTTTGCTGTTCAGTAAGTGACCGACTTTGAGCACCGTACGTTAGGACGGGTAGTATACATATGTCGCCGCACATAAACCGGGAAAATTTTGGAATGATCTTCTCTCTCCAAAAAACCCAATGGGTTGTACTGAGAAAAAAGAATATAATACGTCACTTTCAAGACAAGAAGACAATACTCTGTTACATACATTTTAAAACATCTTTACTAACAGATAGACTTGTATATGCAGTGAATAGAAATAACTTTCTAGATACGTTTGTGTTTTATTTCTGTCCCTGAAATTTAAGGTCAGTCAGGTGGAAGAAAAATATCAAGGTAAACCAGACACGGTGGAAAAGTAAATGTTGTTTCTAGTATTAAAATAACAATACGTAGATACATAAATATTGTAGTGTGGTGGTATCAAAGTGAAGTGTTTAGGCATTTTTTTTATTGTAATATGTTTTTTTTTTTATGTAAATGATCGGCAAACGAGCAGACGGATTGCCTAATGGTAAGCAATCAGCGCCGCCCATGGACACTCGCAACGGAGTAGTTACGAGTGCGTTGCCGACCTTTTAGGGATTAGGGATTTGGAGATTAAGGGATTGAGGAGAGATTGGGGGAGGGGAAGGATTGGGCCTCCGGTAACCTCACTCACACGGCAAAACACAACCCTGTGGGTTATTTCACGCCGGTTTTCTGTGAGGCCGTGGTATTACTCCGGTCGAACCGACCCATTCGTGCCGAAGCATGGCTCTCCCACACTTAATTTTTTGATATACACCACTATTACGAAATTATTTTATTTTATTTGACTTAAATTCATATAATTTTGTTTATTAGACTCCCTTTTGGATCTTATGCTGAATGTAATGTAATGTGTGTTTATTAAAAAAATATCGCGGCAACACTATGATTTTAATTGCATAAGTCGATTCTTAACACGTTATAAGTGATCATATATATTCAGGATTGTTTTGTAACAACAAACTTTACATGAAAATACTAATAATGCGATTCAAATTATTTGGTACTTTTTACTTTGTACTTTTCCTCATTATAGGACTTTTCTCATTATAATATACACGTGTAAAGTACGAAAAATATATTTATCCTTATAAGTTAATATTCACTTATATTTTTGTACTCGAATCGAGTGGTGTACATCAATTTCATAAGCTATAAATGATATAGTCATAAGTCTTGTAAAAAGATACGCATTTAACGTGTCTGGATCTTCGTAGTACATTTTTCCTTCCAAGTTTTCTCGGAAAATGCGTAAGAAAAATATTTGGCAGTGGAGCCTAGAGACCAAATTTTCTATTAAGCTCTAAGGAATCAACATTAGCGTGTATACTGTATCATAAAAGGTCTTCATTGACAACATAGTGATAAATTTCTGGGCAAGATTTCATTTACTTAACAGAAAAAATAATAAGATTTCATCATGGTGCAGGATTCTAGGAATCACTACATAGTATAAACAAATTCGCTTTCTCTGTAACTATATCCCTATGTATGCTTAAATCTTCAAAACAACGCAAAAGATGCCGATACAGCTTTTTAATAGAAAGAGTTATTAAAGAGGAAGGTTGATATGCATAAAAACATCCATTAAATATTGAAGAAATTTAGTATCACCATAGCAACAGTGCGAATGGTTTGATCACTAATTAAATATGTTACAGTTTTTTAAAACCTTTAACTTAAAAACACATTTCGCAAAACTATATAAACATCATTTCGTAAAAAAACCGTTGTATTTTGCTTTCAATGAATCGACAAGCAAACTTAGAACTCCCAGCGAAACACATTAAATATTTATCCGAAAGCTCAACAGAACATGAGGTAAATTCAACCAGAAATCCGTGCAAATACTTTGTTACGTAACATAAAGAGTTGAGCAATTCCTTTTAGAATCGTTATGAGTATTAGTATAGAAGTACAGGATAAAAATACATTTGCTAGTTTCCTTTTACCTTGCCTGCCTCGAAGGTTTTAAATATCAGACTGTTACTTCTTATGTTGACTCTTTTGCCCGCTGTGTGAGAACGCCGTGTGTTAGTGAAGATTGAATTGCTTTGACTATGTTTAATATTACACAAATGTGTGGGTAAATATTATTTTGTTTATATAAGTGAGTGTATTAAAATGGTTGAAAATGATATAGTTAATAATAATATTAAAACTGTTGGTACATTATAATACTATAAAAGATTCATACGTTTTTATGTAAACGAGCAAACGAATTACGTAAATATAAGCAATCAGCACCGCCTGTCAACAGCCGAATAACCAAAGGAGTAACGATTGCATTGCTGGCCATTTAGAGATAAGGGTTTTGTGTATTTAAGGATTGAGAAGATAAGGGCAGGGGAGGGATTGGTCCTCCGGTAACCTCACTCACACGGCAGCACACGTTTCTCGCCGGTTTTCTGTGTAGCCTCCGTGACCCATTCGTGTTTCGCTCTCCCACATCTCTATTAGTTGATCGATTTTTAAAGATACTTTTGAAGATTTGAATGACAATAAAATAAAATACGATGCAACAACAATAAATTTTATTTTCATCTTCAAACATTCAAATCTTTATCACGTTGCAAAAGGGACGTTTGTTTGAAACTGCTTATAAAGCGGTTGTTACCCTTTTATTGCACTCCCAACGTGGAGTGTAAAATATTATGAATTCTGACGGCACCACAAATGCTTTTTTATTTAACTCCGAATGTCAACGGGTGGCAAAAGCTGCGCTTGTCATTTTCAACTTTTGTGAAATGACACGAACTGCGTAGTGATTTAGGTTGTATGTCGGTTGCCGACCCAAATAACTCAGGTCATTGAGGAGAGTTTCGCAATGAACAAAAGGTATTTACTCAGTTTGCAATTTTGAAATAAATCGAACGTACACATTGCTACTTTTATAATCCAGTCTTGCATGCCAACAAGCCACTTGTTTCTGCCTATAAAGTCAATTTATTTGAGCACTGAACCTATGAGACCAATAAATAAACAGCTCTAGAACACTTCTGGAATTTTCGAATTTCTAGAAGGTTCCATGTACATGCGCAACGTATTATTCATTACACCAACTGCGGCCCTCAGAAGATAAATGCGATTGCCCAACGTAGTTTCGCGTTATTACCTAGTTATAAATCTGCTGAACACACCTTGTAAGCGCTTTCATCTTGTAACAAAGCGCACATGAGTCGCGCTGAAAGCGCCACAAAAGCTGTCACGTCTGTTTTGGTGGTTACAATTGCGTTATCACGCTTTGTGAGAACCAATAGCATTCGTGTTTCCAATGACAGCAATTGTAGAATTGTACCCTCGTTGTGTTTAAATAGTCAAACAGACTGAGAAATCATAATATTATCAATCATTAAAGTTGTTCGTTGATTCCATTTTTTTTAGGTAACAATGTAACTTAAGTAAGTTCAATCATTAAGAAGTATTTAATTGACGAATACGCATCGAATAATAAGTACCTAATTCTGGTTCTTTATTTAATCTCACTAGGTGAATTGTAATCATTAAAAAAATAAGCACAAAATTAGTGGCAATGTAATGAACAAGTAAGTAGGTAATTTGGATAATCAAATTATTGTTTTCCGATAAATAATTATTGAAAAATAATAAAACAAAATTCAATTGAAAGCTTGTAACTAAATAATAGCTCAAATTAATTCAAAAACGTTTATCACGGAGTGAAGGCATGTTTTTTTTTCGTTTGTTTATTATATAGAACGTACGTAAATGTCAGACATTTTACGCAACTGATAAAGGGTTGGGTCGGTGGTTTTAACACCGAAAGGATTTTACTGTCACAAATGTATCCTGATAAATAATTATTTACTTTCCCTTATGGACAAAGATATATGTTGTTTTAAGCAAACGCTTGTTTGTTTAAACCATAAATTTATACGTTAGTATTGTTTTATTTTTAGACTCATTATGTGTGTGTAAAATTTGAAATAATAAAACAATATTTTTTCTTTTAAAAATCCATTTAATGATGACACTTAACTATTTATATCAATCTTCATTTTTAATTTGATATTTACATTTAAATAACACCTATTTTATTTACATTTCGATTGTGTATTTACAATTAATTAACGTATACGTACATTTTTAAACCATCATATAAATTAATTTACACTCTTTTTGTATACAGCCAAGAAAAAATTGGGGTGAACTTACGGACTTAAATTTTATTATGTACATTTCAAATTTACGTTTATATTTTTAAGATAAACCAAATTAAACTTATTCGAGGAATGTATTCGATAAGCTTTGATGTAAGGTAACGCGATGTAATAAGCATAGCGGGTGGCGGTGCTGACGATCGGGGCGCGCGTTCATCCGCCATGACACTTGACGCAACGACAATTCTACGTCGCGTTGAACTGTCACTTCTAGAGTCATCTGCTGTAGACACGCTGCTCACTTCAGGCGGAACGCAGTTTGGAGGCTTTTCCTGTTATAAAAATAACAAAGTCTTTTACTCACCTAAGAATAACTATTTGTTTGTTGCATAATTTATTCGTCGCCAATACAGTGGGTCGCGCCAAAGTTTTTATACTTATACAATAAATTGTGTGATACGGATTTAGTTTTTTCTAGTAACAAAGTTAACAATAACAATTACTTAAGGATAAAAAATTCCTGTATCTGGTAACTGACATAAAGTTTGTTTTTATCTTTGTCCCGGAAGTTATTTATAAATCAACACTTGTTGTAGTTTATTTAGTTAGGTACTGTAAAGGAAACAGTTATAGTTATTGATGCTGTTTTATGTTTTGTTCTCACCGGTGGTTGCGTAAAGTTGACTTTTTCTTGACATCTCCGCGACTGGTGCGCGATGCACGCAGCGTACGCGATTGCATGGGGTATGTAGCTTTGCTCCACTACACCAGCAAATAACGTCGTTGCCATTGGACCTATGTAAAAAAAATATATTTACTTATAATAAATAATAATAAAGAAAGCTTATACTTTTAAAAATGGAACTATTAAATGCAACTTACCTAAGGCATAAATAGGCACATCTTCGGCGCCATGCGTAGCCCATTGCCTAGGAACTGCAGCAGCATGAACAGCATCTGCGTTAGCTGCAGACGTTGTCGTATTCAATGGCAATGCTCTAGGCTCCGAATGCCCAGGGCCAGTGCCGTAGAGCAACGTAGTATAACGCAAGCCATCTATATCCGACACCACAGTGTCCGCACCTAAACAAACAAAACACACTTGAAACTTTCTTAGTCCTACAAAAAAGTCTTCAATCTCCATACAAATACTTCTTAAGTCGAAAAACCTCGAAGTTAAAATAAGCTTTAATTAATTTCTAAAACTCTGAGCTCTGCTATTTCAACGGAGCCAATATCCATCAAAGTGGTTTAGAGGACATCACGTTAACGAAAAACGTTGGCACGAGACTTCAATTAACAAGTTTTGTAAACTGTGCCAAATGTCGATGGTTTCTGTAAACTATTTGGCTTCGTGAATGGAGATCCTAATATCAGAAGAATACCTACAGAAATTTGTTATGAGAATAGAATTTGTTTTCTTTTTGTTTAATTTTGTTACCTAAAACGGGGTGTCCTCTCGGTGTAGCCTGGCCGCCAAAAGTCATTACATGACCGTGATCGGCGGTGACGACGATCAAAGTTTCAGCAGGATTAACCCTCTCTAATGCTGCCAACAGTGCGGTTTCTAACTCCAAAGTTTCGTCGAGAGCTCTATATGGATTGTTGTAGTGATGAGCGTGGTCTATCCTTCCACCTACGCAGGAAAACATGAACGTTAAACGAGGTTTCTGATAAAACAAACAAAACAATGAAATTTAATCAACTTTTTAAAATATTGTTTGTAAGTCAAATTTTAGAAATTTTATAGTTTTGATTTTTATTTCATCAAATACCTTCAATTAGGAGGAAAAATCCATTATCGTTTTTGGTCAAAATTGACAAAGCAGCTCTAGTCATATCGGCTAAGGAGGGATCGTCAGCTTTGACATTAGGACTAGCATTTCCGCCTTCTTCCGTATCTGCTATCGCTCCTCGTTCTGCGTTGAACTCCATATGCGAGTATTCAAACAAACCTGTGTCGGGTAAAAAAGAAAACTGTTTAAAATAAAAGCCTTACTAATAAGACAAATTAATAGCTCAATATTGTAATGTTACCTTGAATAACTTTTGTCATTTTTACTTCGAATATTATAAGATTTGATTACATTATGTTCAGACCTTTTATATGTAACCGACAAATTCTCTTTATTTCAATAAACGACCATCATGCACTCAAATGGGTGACAGATTAACAAAATACTAAGAAGCGTGGTTAACAATACAATTTTTGAATTAAGGATGTTGGTAACAGCATAATCCATATTTGAAATGCAAATGCTACTTTATGTCGGGCGGGTGAGATTAAAAAGGATTCAAATGGGATTACACAACGGGGCCGTACTGATCATAATGTAAACTTGGTAAACGTAATCTGGACGAACGTAAATATTTCATAAACTCCGCTAAGGGACCGGAAACATTTTTGGTCAAACTTTTCTTAAGCCAAATGCCGTTCTACACTTCTGTTGTCTCTCCTATATTAATTTTCCAGAGGGAATTCATTACTTTTATCGTTTTCCTCATCTTTCGCATTTGGAGAAGTTAAGTACTACTCAAAAGTTTGTAATTTCTTTTATAAACTGGCACATAAAGTGTTGAGGTTAATCGGATATTAGCCGTTGTACCTAATCTTAAAAGTACCCACACAAATTCAAAGCAACGTTCTAATTTTAAAGGGAATGAAATAAGTATAGAGAATCAATCATAACAAAGTATCCAATTTCACAGGCACTCGTATATCAAAATTTTAATGAATCTATAGATTTATTCTGCTCACGTAAAATTTTAATTAAAACGTAAAGCGTCAATCGATCTTTCTAAAGACGGATTCGTGTTCAACTTTATTGTTTTAATCCCATAGCTACGCGAGGTCCCTAATCATTAGTTTTAAAACAAAGCTTGGTACATACAATAGCATTATTCGGTCTGTTTTTGTGTGTGTGTTGGTTCTGATTTGACTGGTGTATCAATGTGTGTAACTAAGTAACTGTTCAACTGAAGCCAGAGAAAATATCAACTCAACTAGTGAAGCGGAACTATTTATTTGGACCTTTTAATTTATATTCCTTCATTGCGCATGGTTTAAAATGGAGGCCACCGAAAACAGGCTTTGTGGGCACTCAAATTGTTGAGTAAGCATTAACCCTTAAACAAACCCAACAGAGCACACAAAAGGGTCCGGTTTCTTAAATAATCCAACCGGTAGATGAGGGCTTTTACAAAATTTGTATAAAAACGCAGTTTCATAAAAGTAATGGCTCTCAAACTGACGCTTTAAGCCATAATTTAAAGACATAATAACGAGTTTTTTGGTAGTTTTTCCCAAAAGTAAAAGTTTAATGTACGGGTGATATTTTCTATAGCTCATCATTTGATGTTTATGATAACGTAGCAACCTTGACAAACTTTATTTAATAGACCCAGTAATTTTTTTGCGGAATTATTATCATTTTGCGTGTTAACGTCCTAGCTAGATGTTTGCATCCATAGCGACATTCAATATTGATATTGCTTCGGCCATATTTTGGTCTTACACGATATTGCATTTCACCCTCGATGTATATTGAATCGAATACCATGATTTATATTTCCCTACCCATCTTGTACACAGCCTGATGGAGTTTTTCTGGGCTATCATTTACCCTAACCATTATTTTGGCATATTTTCCGCAATTTATTATTTGACCTTGACATGGATTATGTAGATCAGGAGCCGTTGTTTGATCGTATTAGACATCTTGTCTTCTTTTTTTAGTTTAGAATTAGGAAAACAAATGATAAAGTAATAGTAGTGGATGTTTCTCTGCTTCTGTACTTGCTACAGTTAAAGCGATCTAGCAATACTTTGACAACACTTCATAGGATAAGCGACCGTTGGAAATTTAGTGCAATCGATTTTCACACTTATCGAAATGCACAGTGGAACGGGATACGTTTGCATAGTACTTAAAATTGAATTTTCGAGTAAAATGGATTTGAATGTAGAAGCTCTGCGGGGTTCATATATCCGTTCAGAGGAGTAGTAGTGTCTTACCACAAATTATATAACAAAATTTCGTGATAATATAAAATGAACATTAATATCTTTTTAAAAACTACTCATTTTTAAACCAAACAAAACGTTACCATGTGGCTAGGTGTTGCTATCCGGCTTTATATTCTAATAATTTGTGGGAACGTTTCCATATGTCTATACTCTTTCATGTTTATTTCTTTGATATTGAGGTGTGTTAAAAGTGAAACGTTTTATTTTACTTACCTAGCAAATAGTCCACTGTCCTAGGATCTAACTTAGCAAGTTGTTCTCTTGAATGTATGTATTGAGCTCTCAATCGCCGTCTTTTCTTTTCTCTTGCCCAATCTTCAGCTAAATTTCTTCCATCCAGTCTTCTCCCTTCCCGATTAGGATGTTCAGGATCTGGTGTGATGGTGGGCAAAAAGTGTCTTCTACCACCTCCCATAATTACCTTACAAAAATATGAGAAATATAAAGATATACAGCGAAAATGGTGTGGAATATTTATTTTGTGAAATGGATTATTTCTGCTTGAGTTTTGGATAAATGCAAATAAAAGACACCCAAAGATCAAATTTTACATTCTTTTTTAGTTTTAGGTCTCATTTTGTTACTCATCTCTTGTAAGTAGGATTGCTTAAAAAATTTATTAACATTTGCTATACTGTTGTTTAAAAGTAAGGAGTATTTTGTTAAACATATTAGATAAGTTAGGATTTCGCTCAAATGTAGGAAAACAGTTAGGAAGAAAAACAACTTGTCTTGGCCTCATTTTTGTTATACCTATTAACTAGAAGTACCTTAACTACTTGTCTGCCGGTATATGAAAAACAATAGGAAACACATCGTGTCTCGCTTGGATCTACGTTCTGGCATCCCACGGGTTAAACTAATAATATCCGTATTAAGTGAGGTTGAAGCGCCAACAATCTCCTAAAATCTAAAAATGTCTTTCTGGTTACAATAATAATAACCCTTACACAGAATTCGTATATCATTAAACGAAATATTGCGGATTATCCTGCTGTTAGAGTAACGGCACAGCGATCCCTACTTGAAGGATTTTTAATATCATACCCATCGTATACAATGATTATAAAGGTTCTTTTCGCATACCCGAAAGCCCGTAATCTTTACTCTGTATAATACTGCTGTAAAGGCTGAAATGCATCAACGGAACATTTAAGTGAGCATGAATTACTGAAGAAATAATTAAAACGCGCACCCAGCCACATCAAAACCACTGATAATCCTCTCTCCTTCAGCCAAAATGCTTGTGTCTAATTAACTTCACTTACTAATTTACGAAAGGGATTTTGTACAATTTGAGGATTCTTGCTATTTCATCTCTCGGGAGCTATTAATAAAAACATTGTTACTTTTGAACTTTAAAAAAAATACTAAACTCTCTTCCTTTCTTCTGATGAAAGTTTCTTCGCGTAGCCTTTAATTTTATAAAACATTGAGGTCTTGTTGTCTTTTTTTAACTTTTTTTCGCTGGTCTATGAAGTTTATAAAATTACGGCGCATTTTGTATGCAAATTATACACCGAGTTACAAAAGAACTGAAATGCGCTTACTTTGATAAAAATGCAAATTTTTGTGTTATTGTACACATAGAACACGTACATAATGTCACACCTGTATTTTGTAGAGATAATGATACGCCAAGCATTGTATAATTTAACTTAGTCAATTTTTTTTTTTTTTTGGTATTACACCGTTTAAAAGTACCACACGCCAACGTACACCAACGGAGCTTATTCTTTGGTATTAAATGAAACCAAAGAAGTATGTTGTCGGCCTTTTTTGGGTTATTAGGGATTTAAGGAATTTGAACATTAAGGACGAGGGGGTAGGATGGAGCCTCCAGTCACCTCACTTATATGGCGAAACACAACTTAAGTGCTCTTTCAAGCTGGCATTCAGCGAAACCTCATCACAATAATTGTGTATGTGTGAGAAGCATGGCTCTCTCACACTTAAAGTTATTTCTTGTTTTTTTTCTTTGGTAACTACTTACATTTATACTCCTTCCCGGTTCATTTTCTACGAGCTGCAAAGCTATGTCCTTGCAGTCTTTTCTGACAGTGGGAGGTACTCTGCTATCGTCCTCCCAGTATCTGGACGGCGCATGCGCGTACAACGCCGCAGGCGTCGCATGGGTTATCCGCGCTGTTGTCACGATGCCACTGGATTTCCCTGCACAAAATAGTTTATGGTATAATTTATATAGATAAGAATAGAAACAGAGCAAATAAAATAGTATAAAACCAATTAATTTGGTTTCCAAACTATGTACTTTCCATCATTTAATAGTAGATTTTGTCTAGCGATATTGAACGCTAACAACATTAGTAATATATTCCGAAGACAGTAAAAATAAAACACGATATCAACTTAATATTCACGCACATTCAAGTTACGCCAGTGAAACTTTGCATCTATAATAAATGCAAAAATGCAAAGTGAGAAAGGACTGAATATTTTAAGAACCTTGGGCAATGAAGTTTAGAAAGCCTATTCAGTTGATACTAAACTGTTATAACACAAAACTTTGCTTTTAGACAGTAGTATCAAAAGAGTTTTGGGGAAGAATGTGGCATGTCGTGACGAAATGTAAATTGTTTGCCAAAAAATAAAGCGTGGCTTATACTAACCTTCATACTTTCGTGCGTTTTTCAACGGTTTATTATAATTATATGCGGCTAAACATATTATTTCTCTATTCTTGTGTAAAATTATATGAAAATATTCCAAATTCTAGACTCGGTTTTCGACATTGCCGCGTCACGTCGCGTTCTGTCGTTTAGAGAATTTGGGAAATTGCTTACACCATTGCAAACCATTTTACCTGATAAGGTCAAAAGGTTTCTTATTTCAAGAAAGTTTTTAGCTTTTCGATCTAGACCTATTTTTAGGTTTAAGTCTATGAGTATTGTGTACTTTTTACTAACTAGTCTTCTGTGTTTAATGAAGGTAAATTACTGTCTTTGAGCAAATAAATTAACTAGAGGACAGACCGACAGACTGACATACCTAAACTTGAATCTTTTGATAGTTTCTGTTTGACGTTCAATAATGCCTGTTGTGGCTATTTGAAATAAATGATTTCATTTTTAAGATAACAAATTTTTATTATTATATTTGTTATTTAAAATTCGACCGTATTTCCATTCCATTTTTATCAATCAGGATTCAATCTAGTTATTACAACATTTATAAGAAATTATAGAGCAATTGTTCTATGACCAATGACCAATGATTACTGGGATATTTGCATACACCTTATTTTTGGCCAGTAATATTACACTCTTAAATAATAAACGTTATTATATACATCGAGAGAATTATCCTAGACAAGAACACAATAGTTCGAAAGCTATCAAAACAGAGTCTAAGTGTAATAAAATGAATCATAATCTTCACAATGGCCATATATTACGTCGTACAGAATTATACGGTCGAGATACGTACACACTTCACGTTGAGTGCCCGCTCATCGAGGCGAATGCACTGGACAATGGCCCTCTGTACCATTGCCATACGGTATAGACATATTTTAGTCACGCAACAATTTATTTATATATTAATATTGTACTTTTGGCATACCAAATATATATTTATACATAAATATATTAGGTGACTACTAATTAGTGACCGATTTTTAAACGCGTGATTGTACTCATTCAGATAACAAACAGCTTTCCGAAAAAAACTATATTGTAGATTCATAAGTTTTATTTTTATTAGTACAGCAAAACTATTCGCAGCCACGCCGCTAACAGCTGACCGGGGGACATACGGCGGGCGCGCTACTCATGTATCAAATGTTATAGGTAATTGTATGGAATAGTGTTCTGTATGACCTCTGCGAGTGGAAATTATGAGATATCACTCGATGCAGATTCAATTATTTTTGTAATCAAAAATAATGTTTTATGAATGAACAAAATCTATGTGAAAGACAAAGCAAAATATATGTACTATATCCTTTTATCCCTTTATTGGCTGCAGTTTAACTGATAGTAAATTATCGCGCCAGTAAAATATAACGTTAACTATAACGTGCAGCTATGGTTGAGTACATTCGCTTCAATGAACGAGCACTCAACACAAAATATGTGGACATAATTGTCGTGGTTTTGTATTAAAAATGTTATGACGTGGGAACATAACATAGTCTGGAACAAATCCACTCTAATAAGTTAAAATCAATTTTTAGTTCTGTATCTTTTTCTTATTGTTCTTGTCCTATATATTTATGTAGTATACCATTATTACGGGCATCTATGGCCATAAAGCACACTCTAAAAATAAAGAATAAACTAATACATAGTACATACATATCTATTTGAATTGTTTTTTCGTATCTATTGTAGGTGAAGGAAGAGACACATTACTTTTGTTATGGCCTGGCCTCATTTTAGTCAAACCATTAACATAATTATAAAAAAGGTATGAAATGCAGATTTCCAAAATTCAATAAGTAGGTTTGCGGGTAATTGTACTTTTAGTGGGGGATAGTCATCAAAGAACTTCTCCTGACCTAGGTGGGGCGAGAGAGAGTAACAGACTTTTACTGTCTAGACTATACCCCATTTCTTCTCTTGTTCCGGGCCAGAACTTTTTCTTTTTGAATCATGCGGTACATATTTGAAGTAAATAGTTACTTTCATCTACTCAAACAACAAAGCTGTGAAGCCTGAATTAATTTTGTTTAAGCCTTTGACTGCCGACAGAAAAACGTTAAAGGCAAATCCTCCGCTACCGTAGGTCACCGGTGACCTACGTGGCGATTAACGTGTTAAAAGCTATTTTGAAAGATGTTCCAAATACATTAGCTTTCCAGACCCAGCCAATTAGAATGAATAGCTACATTTTGACAACTAATTGGCCTTTTTCACAGTTTTAGTGTCCTATTTAAGGTCAAGAAAAGATAATTAGTATTTTTTTTATTTTGCCTTCTGTTCCATTTGAAATTTTGATATTTTTTTGCAATCTCTTAAATAGAATTTTAAAAAGTCTGTTCAATGATAAAAATAGAATTGGTGTTATAATAAAATTGTCAACACATTTTATTCAAGTAATAATTTTCGAAAGTGTTTAATATGTCTCACGTAAATTACAATATGAAAATTGTTTAAACGTACTCAGTTTCTAGAAAACTCCAGCCTCTTTTTCTGTCTGTGTAACTTATACTCGTGTATCTGGATATTTACCTAACGATTGGGATCGGTTACAAAGACACTAATACAGATGAACAGTTCCCCGAAAAGTGTTTACCAATTTTGATCCGATTGTGGATCTTAAATAACAGTTATGATTGACGAAAATTACTAATGTCAGAACCATTTGTTCCCATCAAATAAATAATAATGAAACAATTTGATCCAATCCATTGTAATGTAACAAGCTATATTAAAGAGTTTCTTGTCTATTCGAAAAAATAAATGATATTAATTTGTCTACTTTATGTTTTAGCGGGCAAATATTACTGTTATTGGATATTTTTCTTCCAAAGCCAAGATTCGATCACTAAATTATTGACATCATAATAAAAAGTGTTTGAAATAAGTCTTGCTGCTTAATAGTATCTAAGGTCAACCGCTTTCAAGAAAGAAAATCAATCACAATATGAACCTTATTATGTTAAAACATAAAGTAAGTGTGTAATAGTTTGTCATTTTGAGTAACAATTAGACACATAGATTTGTGATTTAATTTCCTTCCTTTTCCTAACTCATCTCCTAATCTTTATACCTTTTACCCTCGACATGTTTGTAAAGAAACCTACGCTTGTTTTTCATAAGATACAGTAATCTGTATCTTAAATAGAGAGTATTGTGGGGACTGACTTAGCGTAAATGGGACAGATTGTAAGGCGGCAGTCCCTGCCCGAGAGAGCGCGCAAGCGCACGCAACCGTGTTCTATATTAGTCGTGGCCGTGTGTCTGTATTATTTCCAAGTGACGTATGTGAACTATTGTATAAGTTGGACAATATACCTAATCTGATTAAAAATTCTGTGTACATTTATTTGCCTTACCAAGGTCGAGTCATTTACACCAACACAATAGGGACTCAACAGTGGTTTCTATCAGATAATTCAGACGTTAAGCAATCGGCGCTTCCAATGGCAACACCGGCGGAGTCGCAAGAGCGTGTTAGTCTTAAAGAGATTTTGTTGATTTAGGGATTGGGGAGGGAAAGGATTCGGTCTCCGATAATTTTACTCACACGTTAAATCACAACGCTGTGGTTGTTTAACGCCGGTTTTCTAAGGCTGTGGCATCTCTCCGCTTGAGCCGCCCTATTCAGTGCCGAAGCATGACTCTCCCAAACTTAACACCGAAAATCCACAAATGTTATGATTACATGAAAAATCAAAATCGGAGCTCCTTGTTCGGCATTCGCATTTGTATATGTATATCATTGAATTTACAAAACAGTCAACAAAAAACACCAAAATATAAAATCCCATCAAAGAATATTACTATTACAATATATGATCTACGTAAATACATATTCCAAAACGTTAACAAGGATAAAAATACACATGGATAAGAAAACACCATGAGCCTCGTTTATACCTTGTCACTAAATTGTAACAATGCCAGATCAAAATGACGTATGCTGTGTCGAGCGCTCGGGAGACAAGAGTCTGTTAAAGAAGGGTATAATAAAACATTGTTTTGTGACGTCACTCAAAACTGACAGCCACAAGATTGGTGGGAAGGAAAAGGGAATTGAAATACAGACAGGAGGATCTATCAAACCACCACAGTTTTTGTGTACTCTGATTTTGTTTTTGCCAAATATTCAAGGGCGTAGAAAACCACGGTCTATAAAAATGGGTTAAGAATCAAAAACCAAATAAAGTACAACGCTGGCTGCACGGTTTACCTACTTTTTTATATTAACAATTAACACACTAATTGCCTTTATACATACAGTGTATACATAAACCAATTTAGGTTTTTCTGTACACCGATACGTCGACATTTTTAATTAATTGATTTATTATGAAGGTAAGTACTCGCTACTCATCAACCACGGCACGTTAGTCGCGCCCACAACCCTAACACCAACCCGTATTATGAGTTAGTCATGTACGAGGTTGGCGCAGTGGGCAACTAGCTGTTCTGCAACGAGTCAGGAGTTCCATTTCCGCAAAAAACAACACTTCGTGTGCTCCACAAATTGATTTTGTATGTTTATAAACACACCCACGAATCAGGAGGAAATCCTAGTGTATGTGGTTTTAAAGAAAAGAAACTTAGAAAAGAAAATCTTAGTTAAACGAATATTACCAATCGCGATCGTGCTTTTTACATAACGTACAGACGAAAACAGACTGAATTAAGTAGAGTCTTAGTTTAAGTACTTTATTATAAATAGCTAACTATCATTCCCTTCTTTTCAATCAGCCAATTGTCTTGCTCAATCAGCATTGAAGATTTAACAAATGAATAACGCGATATCAACTACTCGACCCCAGCTTAAGAAATAACTAATACTTAAACTCCGTTGTCATTGTTCGTACAGACACTTTATTTGCACAATTCTAATTTCTTTATTCTGAGAAATAATAACCTTTATTGTCACTACGAATCAGCTTTCAAATATTATACTGTCCATGCTGTCTTCAACGAAACTCCATGTACTTGAGGAAATTTAATCTATTGTTGTTTACGACTAGTTATCTAGGTATTCAATTGAGTTTCGGGCTATTTTCGCGCATTAAAAGCGATACGGAGACCCAAAAATCCATTTAAAATCAAAGACAATAATTATCTCAAAATCTCATGTCTAAATTTCGAATAAAAGATTCGAAAGTCAGAGAGCGCCAAACAAAATTAAAAACACGTATCAATTCTTTCTTAAAGATTAATTTAAAGATATTCTTTATTAAGTGTTTAGACATTACTATATTGCGTACGGGTAACAAATTTCATTAGAATCGGTTCGCTAGTTTTCATAAATTTGAACTTGAAAGAATGTATGTAGACCCGTGCCACGCTCTTAAGTTCCTTCCCTATTAGATTTGATGAAGGACCAAATTGGGGAAAAGTGTATGTTTTACTTTGTACATATCTGAATACCTCTTAATGGATTAAAATGTGTTTATCATATAAGTCATGTAATCCGTGAAGTTTCCCGCAGGTACAAATATAGGAGGAAGCAATAAAAAATATTTATGCACGAGTACATCAAGAAAATTATAGCGCGTCACGTTTAAAATGTAGGAGGCGAAACACGCAGCTATTTATGGCATATCTACTTTACGCTGCGATATTGCAGTAATCCATATTTTACTTAGATATTGCACGACTTTCCAAGTTAAAAATATTCTTCGATGTTCCAACCATTCTACTTTCATTTACATATATTGTTGAATATAATCATTATTTGAATTTAGATTATATTATTGAAAATTAAAATATGAACATTATAAAATACTATTAAGGAGCTTACTACTGACCGTAAGACTTCTTTTGTAAGGAAATCCTCAATTGATTACATTCGCAGTAAAGGTAATAACCAAACAAAAGTTACTATAATAAATGCAACAACAAACCCTGGTTGTAATAAAACGATACAATAAAAACATTTAACTAAAAAGATCGATACAAAAAGAGATAACGGATGGATGTATTTTTGTTATTGTTACACGCAAAAACGGCTGAACCGATTTGTTTGTGGTATGTGGATAGGTGATACCCTCATCAAATGACTTCTCCCCAGGGTTGGGCTGGAGGGAGTCTCAAACTCTTACTGACTAAAAAACCCCCTCCGTCCCTTCTCCTGCTCTGGGCTGTGGTCGCGGTGCCTCATTGCGGGCAAAGCCCCAGTCGCAAGCTGGTTATCTTATTACTTGATGAAACTATGACTTAAAAAAACAAATAATTTTACTTACCAGCTTCATGTGCCCAGTCAACCAAAGATGTGACTTTGGAATTGATGGTCGAAGCACAGCTGTTGAATCTTCCACCAGCATCTAACCCCAGGGTCTCGTATCTTGCCTTTACACCACACAAAAGGGCGGTAGCACAGGCAGAAGACTCCCCTGTTTGGGCATCTATGTTATACGTCTGTTGAGCAAAATGAGTACAATTAATAAGAAGATTATCTTTCACCTGAATAAACTAATCCATTTTATATATGGATTATAACCTTTCCATTTAAATAATATAGATATACATATACAATTGCTAGTTCTATAAAAATACACGTATGGTAAAATGAACACATAATATATGAGGTTATTAATTGTACATAGAACAGGAAAAAATATGAGTCAAGAAAAAAATGGGTCAGCGAAGCCTCGCATACAAAGGAATTAACATAGATGAGCACGAAGGTACACATCTAAAGACTTTAGTAAAAACTACAGACTGTATACGAGTTAACAATTAACTGACTTACATCACTTTACAAGAAAATACAATATTTAATACCAAAATTACAATTAATATAATAGTTTAGTTTCTCAATAACATGAAAACATCAACAGATGGAATTATACGATCTTCAAGTATATCCTAAGTGTATACCATTCGATGGTAAGCTTCGAAACGATGAGTGTCGAAATTGTTATTGTCAAAACACACAGCTGAGACGCTGATCACAATACAATGTTATTTGTTCACAGGTAGCTGTTTGAGTATTATCCCTTAATCGCTTACGACACACATGAAAAACAATGGCGTACTGTCGTGCCGGAAGCCGTAACATAAATGTTTGTGTGAAAATATAAGGGAATTCTTGCAGATGATTATTTCCAAGCCATACAAAATAAGAAAGTGGGTGATGTTGAAGAGTCAGGGAAAAAGCTGTTACTGTTTGCGTATGTAGTCGAAGTGCGATATAGTGTCAAGAAAAATAGGTTATGTCGTGTATCTCGAGACATGACATTATGCAAAACATAATTTCCAAATCTATGAGAGCGTTGCTCTCTATAAACTTAAACCCAGTCATGATATGCATCACCAGATCTGTATTTTATGTAATATAATAAAAAAGGTAGACAGTTACATTTCATTATTATGATCAACTATCGAAAATGTTGTGTATAGGTTTATTATAAGGATTTCGTAGAAATCGGTTAGAAAGATGTCAGTCTTGTTAGGGATTCGTAACGTAGATAGCTTGCATGATAGGTATTATAAATAGCACATAAATAGAAGCAACTTTAACTTTCCCAATATTCAAGAATAACATTTTTAGAAATTAATTTTTTTTTTTACCAAATTAGTTTAAGTTTCACATAAATTAAGAACACTGTATTTTAAAACACTGAAGAAAACGGTCCTGTATTTAAAATCAAGCAAACTACATTTAAAACTTTGTACATCTGTAAACAGATGAAAAACAAAAGATCTTATTCATTTCTTTCGTAAAACATCTCCGTATCTTTTTCTGCATATCATAACACGTCTGTTTTTTTATTAAAAAGTCTGACCAATTAGCAAAGGCGCTTGTATAGCGATACTATCAGAGTTGAAAAACTCATTTTCTAAATAAACCTGATTACCATCAGCGTTCACAGTTTCTCTAAAAAGGAAAAATTTAATTTGTCTCGCGAGTACAAAATGTCCGTACGAAAATTGACTCGGAAGATTAGTAAAATCTTGGTTATAAAGGCACATGAGAAAATATAATAAAATGGCGTTCTATATTCACCGTTTAGCGTGTTATTGCTGATGATATGTATTATGCATGATATACATGTGTATATTATATGCAGGTACTTATATTACTCCAATTCGTATCAAGTTTGAATGAATTTGATCAATTCAAATGGGATTGCCAGTTTGCAGAGAGGTTTCTTATTAAAATTTTTGTTGGTATAAATACTTTTTCTCTTACACCAACATTTAATTTTTTATAACAAAATATATAATTAGTGATAAGAATATTTCTTATAAAATTACAGTATCATTAATTTCTGTTCTAAACGTTAAATCATATTTGATGACGCATTTTTAAAATCTTTGCAGTTTAAAGGATACATAACACAGAAGAATTATTAAATAACTGAATGCACAGTTGATATAATAGCTTTAGTATCTTGCAAACATGAAAAAACCCTAATGTAAGGTAATGTTGTTTATATAAAAATGCCCAATCTTTTCAAGGACATAAATTCTATTAGTTATTCAATGTTTCGGAACAAATGCAACAAAGCCCGAAGTTACGAAATCAGACAGTGTTCAAATACTTACCAAAAACGAAGAAAGGGTAAATATTCAAAGTTACATTTATTTTATGATAATAAACAATGCCACTAAAATATAAATTTACTCATCTTTAAAAAAATATTAAATACATATTAGATAATGATAATAATATATATTTTTTATTAAAAGAACTAAAAGCGCACTTCTAATATTACTACAATCTTACAATACAGATATAGCAATATAATATTATAATTTTCAAATAGATAGTGTTCATTAGAGAGTGCTATCCGAGCATGGCATTAAATGCACGCAGTGTTAGTAACATTGATCGTGTGGCCACGTTATACATACGTACATTTACACAATATTGTAACATAGTAAATTACACTATATAGCTTATAATAATAAGATCAGTTATTAGTACAGCAGTTATAAGTAGCAGCTTTATTCACCTATGAGTAATTGTCTTGAGCTAATTATCTGTTATGTCTATCTTTTAATATATTTTTTTATTCAAACCTTGGTTACTTAATTAAATTTGATAGAATAATTTAGGCGTTAAAGTGTCGCCAAGTAACACTAAGAACTATTATTGACATTCGTTTTTATAGGTAGTTATTATATCTAAGTTTTTGCTTTCTAAGGTCATTTTCGGAAATGATAAAGTAAGGGAACCAAAGGTAATAATAAAAAGTATAAAAATTAAAACCCAACTACGACAAAAAACGACGCTGAAAAAGTATAAAACAAGATTTTCAGAATACCGAAATAAGCCTTTCTATAACAATAGCAAACTTTCTATAATAACACGTTACATTAACCTACCACACCTGCACTTTGATAACGTGTGACTACGTCTTTCAGTATTCTGAAAATCTCGTTTCTGTCAAAATCATAACCCTCCTTTTGCTTTGCCGTAGTCGGGTAAAAAGCCTTGGTGTCAAATAAAATATTCTGTCACTCTTACCTTTGCTAAAGCAACTGCAGGGAAAGTGTCCCACGCTAGATCTGTGTCCTCACCGGACTGTCCTCTTCTCTGCCCTCTTAGAATCCTGGCTGCAGTGGCAGTTGTCAGGCTCATACCGTCTCCCACTACTAGTATCACGTTTCTGTGACAAAAAGAATATTTTAATAACTTCGGTCAAACTAACAACAAACGAATTAGGTATGTTTTAGTGAGTCATCATGGTAGGGTTTTATAGGAGATGTCCTTGAAAGTTTTCTAGTGCTGAATGTTACCTATACATTGATATACAACAACGTTAAGAGTCCAACATTTTAACATCAGTTGGTAATTATACTAGTCAATTTGATAATATAGTTTGCATATTTATTTATTTATCTAATATTATACACCACAAAACCGTTGCAACGGTTTGACAGTGAGGTCAACCATTATTTTAAACAATACAATACAATACAATCTGTGTATTGCATTTTGTAAAATATATTTGTATTGATATTTTAATGTCCAGTAAACGTTTAAAATCAGAACACAATCACAAAATCCCTCAGGATTACATAAATAATTGAAGGTTCTCACTCCAGTACTCCGAGTCCTTAGCAAATGTTTTCTATATAATATACATACATAGGCATTACTAAGGAATAGTTTAGGTAAAGTAATAAAGGTTTAAGTATGGCACTCACTTGCAGTTTTACGAAAGAGTTCTGGTTTGAAATGTTATATCGAAATTATTTCGTATTTTCGAAAATGTTAGGTTTTGTGACAGTTTGAGAATAATGTAAAGGAAGACTGCGGAGTTGAGGCCAGATAGAACTGATGTTCAGCAGTGGTTACATATTGAGGGCTATCGCGGAACCAGCCTGAAGCAAGAGATGGATCGGGATCGTTTTTAGTCAGTAAGACACACACACAGTTATACACTTCCTTTCGCCCTACATTACATTACATGGTGACAAAAAGGCTTTTGATGATTTTCCTCCTCAAAATAACAATATACACTACTACTACTACTATATACATAAAAACACATTTTACATGTAAAGTGAGGTTTTCAATGACCAAGCCAAGCCTCAGTGCATCTTCAATAGTACGTAAATCATAAACAAATTAAAATATGATTACAAAGGTTATTAGAACATTCACTTCCACTGCGAGGTATTTCCAGCTTAAATCATGTTGTATAACTGTTTCTCTTGTAACTGTAGTGTTCTTCTTTGAAATAATTGTACCATAGAAAATCAGAATATAAAGAGCAGTATACATCTGAATACAGAGAAACTTTTAATTTAATTAAAATAACAAAACTATTGTGTAAGCGTTAAAGTAAAATAATTTATATTCATGAAGATTTCCAAGTATTTGCTTAATCAAAATTAAGAATCAGGTGCTTGCCCTTATAACATACTTACCTACTTGTATCTCTTGTTATTCTTAGAGTTGAAAAAATACGTAATTCGTGAAAAATAGCATATTTAGAATCACGCGTTGCGTATTTACTGGAAAAGCCCAGTCAATTCGAGCTGTGTGATAAAATACAAGTATATCCTTTCGTGTCACGACGCGCTTCAACTTAACCTCACGGTGAAATTTCTAAGTTTCTATGTAGGGGGTAATCTTTAGAACCGCTGATCAGATTTGTAAAACAATGTTCCTGTATTATGCAGATAGCTACTATCTTTCAGTGCTATATAGGCTTATAAATTATGATTTTGATATTATTATGATTGATTTGCGAATTTAAGTAGAGCTATCGCTTTAAATGCTGCAATTTTTTAAATCGAAGGATACTTACATTAATTCCCGAAACCGCTGGCGGAAGCCACTGTATATAAAACATTGTTATTTCTAATACCATGCCTTTCTATTACCTGGTAACTATGTTTGCGAAGTATGACTTTTGTGTCCTAAATTACGTAGAAAGCTAGGGCAGGTATTAGTTGCTTTATTCGTTTTTTTTTTTAAGCCAGTATGATTAATTTAGAATACCCTATATTAAGTTTTAGAAGAGACTAGACTAAAAACTTTCTTTTTTTATTAAAAACTTTTAATTAGAACATACTTACTTGACTTACTTTTCAAAAATATGAATAATAAATATTAAATTACTTACATTAGTAACCTATAGATTATTATAAAGAGGTAGAATTTGTAATTTGTAAGTTAGTATGTACCTAATTTTAGTGATCTCTGATCTGATCATAAATAACTTCAATGTTCCTGACGACTATAAAACATCGCGCTACGATCAAATGAAGCAGCATTGGTCAATCGCGCGAGAGTAGCTAGTTATAGCGGGATTCATCCAGTGTAATTTTAACTGACTTTTAAAAATCAAAATATATTAAAACCTCAACCTCGCTCGCGCCAATACTTATTACGTCAATTAGACAACGCCTCTCCCCATTGACATTAAATTAATGTAAAATTTACCAGATAATACCCGAAGGCAGTTATCTACATACGTAACTAGATACGTAAGAACCAAAATTAACCGGTAAAAATCGGTTTAGTGGTTTACGCGGTAAAGTGTAAACAAACAAACACAAGTGTAAACAAAGAAAATCAGTTTTGCTTTGAGTTACGGTACACGTGCGATACAATTACCTCAACATTTTAAGCATGGTCTTGACACCCTTTTTTTGTCAGGGGGAAATCATCAAATGACCAGCTCTGCCACCCAGGGTTAGGCGAGAGAGAGTGTCAGACTCTTACTGACTAAAAACCCCCCGTTCCTTCTCCTGCTCTGGGCCGAGGCCGCGGTGACTCATTGCGCTTAACCCGCAACCCCGGCTGAATGGTCTTGACACCCTGTATTTTGACTTAGTTGTAACTTTATGCACAATGGGTACATCGGTGGATTTAATGTCCTAGGCAATTTCTACCAGTCGAGCCTTGGGTGATGCAGAGATGAGCGAATGGCTGGTGTAAGAAGCAAGCAAACATACTTAAGTTTATATACCTATGATACTTTATCTTACAGTAATCTAAAGTACACAGTAGTCGTAAGAGCTAAGTAAATGACTGAATGTTTTTTCCTTCTAGCCAAGCTCGGTAATGATACTCATTATCGCTTATGAAACAAATATACGGGAATTCATTTATTGATAATGTGTCTTGTCGATGCCTTGAGAATTTCGCGATAATGATTATCGATACTGAACTTGGCTACATGGGTGGAACTTTTTAAATTGCGATCTCCAAACCACCTATTAGACCGTGGAGATTAGGGCAAATGTTTTTGAATAGAGGCGTATAGATTGTTTTTGATGAACAATAAACAAAAACAAAAAACAGTCGTTTTCTGTGTATAATAGTAAACATAATCACGTACGTATCAAGGTTTACCCGTGGTTAATACTCACACTAATAAATACATATAAAGGTCATATACCGAAGATATACAATTACTTGCCCTCGAGCGACGTGGCAGGTATGTAAACAAAATAATTAATTATACACCGATCCATCGTGTTCAGTGGAAAAATTGGTCGGAAAAGTAAATCGAGAGATTTTCTCGTCATTGCGAAGATTATTTACGAACGTGTTTTGACAGCATCATAGCTATTTGAGTGATAGAACTGTTATGACAAGATCGTATCTTGCAGCATTGCTCGATTTGGCATAGTTTTGGAAAAGGATATAACACATACGGCTTTTTCCAGTCGAGCTTCAACACGTTTCAGGCATGTACAAGATAAGTCGAGGAAACCAATTGTTTTACTATTTTTCTTTTAAACGTTGTAATACTAGGATTTTCTTCTGTGTCATGGGTGCGGTTAAAAACGTACAATTTACATGTACACGCCACCCAAACCTGCAACAACAATTTGTGAATCACACAAACAGTTGTTCCGTGCGGGAAATGAACCCTCGACACGTTGCACGGCAGCCAGTTGCCCAACCAACCGTGCAGTCAAGTGTATGGTATATGTAGTAAGTATATCTAATTTAATAGTGAGACATACAACATTTAATTGAAACTAACGACTTTTGCGCGTGAATTTACTGGGGAAGGCACTACTCGTTTTGAGTCAAACGGAATTCTTGATTTGAAAATTATTTCTAACATTTTTTTTCTAAAAACTACCTTTGTATTTCTTTTTGACTTAGTTTTGTAATAATAATTTCTAATAAAAGGGTATTATAATAGAACTTCCTCATTAATGTCAGGTATTTTTTACCGAGTTACCTCAGAAAGTGGGCGCCTGGGTTATGTTTTCTTAAATTTCGTTAAAGATAATAATATTTTTAAACTTACCGCCAAAGAAGGAAAATGCTAAAAGAAAATCCTTCAATATGAAAATTTTATATGGCGATAAGGGCCCTGAGAGAAGATTTTAACACTTGATTTCATAAAAGGCAGGCAAATATAATCTTCTACATACGTGAATTTGAGTATAATAGCGGATCTAGACTAGAAATTATCAGTACTCACGTTTTTGGCCTAGATTTTATAAATAGATTTATTTACCATACAATTTTTTAAAGAAAGTATTTTATTGCCGTCCACAAAGTCCAGGTATTTTTTCAATTTACGGACTAATGTGAATTTATTTATCAAACCATAAGCGAACGCGCACGTTTTGTCTTACTATTGTGTCTTGACTTTTGAAAGGTTAATAAAGAAAAGTTCTAGATTTTCGGCAGAAGATACGATGGATAGGCAAGCTCAAGTGACCGATTAGCTGCGCGACATCGCTGTATCTCGCACGCTCAGCATGCAAAAGAGTCCCGTTCTTACTTGAAACTAGTAGAGCTTCTCTCCGAGTCTCTAAATATAAAAATGGATCTATCTTTAAACATAAAAATGGATCGCAAAATGTGTTGGTAACCGCATACCTCAACAACGCCTGGACCAGTTTTGCTAATTCTTTTTTGTTGTGTTTTTTATTGTCCGGAGAAGGTTCTTATCAAATATAAAAAAACCGCCTTCAAAAAAAGTCAAGCAATAAAAGTTCCTACACTAAAAAGTAAAAAATAACAATTTGAATTACTGTAAAAAAACTTAATTTATAGGTAAACTTATTTGACATTAATATTTTGCAAATATTCAAAATTTATTACTTATTTTTGGAGTCGGTGCCAGCATTTTGATGTTGAAACTTAATGTTAGT